TATGTTAAGTCTAGTCTATGAGACCAGTCTGCAACAACTGATAATGTCATTATGGACTTTGGGGAGCAATGCCTAAAAACGCAATCCAAATGTTCAAATTCACTTTTCACCGTTTATGTAGGCCTATAGCCTAATATAAATATTGTATCTAATAAAATGTCTTCCCTAACTGTTACATGCTATATTTGGTGACATACGGTTTGAGAGGCGCTGGTGAACGTGACCGGTCCCTGTTCTTGTCTCGCATGCGCCGTGGTCTCCAACCGACCTCTGTCCCCCTCCCGCACGATGTCTTCATATGTTGGCAGATACTTAACTTCATCATAGGCGGGCAGAGAGACAGGGGGAGCTAGGTCAGTAGCAAGGCTATGCGATGTGTAGCTCTCCAGAAGGAGAGGGTCCTGAGATACCGTTGTGAGTCCGTTGAGGAGCGGGTGCGGTTCCTGGCTGTCAAGCAGTTGCCTGGGTCTCGGGCAGACAATCCGCTGGATGAAGAAGGCCATGGCAAAGAGAAGGAGCAAAATAAGGACCCCAGTGAGTGTCCGCGTAACCATGGCGATGTTGTAGTAGGTGGTGTGAACCGTGTGCCTGCAACAGCCGACGGCTACACTGTCGTTACCGTGCGCGCAACATATCTGATCATCTCTGCAAAGCGTCTCTCCACATTTTCGAAGCGCATGTGCAATAGTTAAAACAAAGATGGAGAAAAAGGTCAAGCTCGGCGTCTGACATTTGAAGTAAAGACACATTCCTTAAAGAAAATGCTGGATGTCAGCTATTTTGATTGTCAATATTCCAAGTTGGTTGGCAACGACGTAGGCAAGCCCATGACGCTCTTGACGCGCGTTTGGCTGAGGTACTATTAGTGAAATGAGTCAGAGCCATAGATCGATGTCACTTGGTGAGCCATAGCATCTGAACATAAATCTGTAGTGTGGTATTTTCCTCCATATTGTCTCTGGAGGTGATTTCATAGCCGGATCAGCTCGGTGAACCTGCTGTCACCTAATGAGCATGTCTGTCTAATAAAAAATGTATGACCTCCATCACTAAAGTAACTATTAGACAGGCGCTTCAAAACTGTTGAGAGACCCTTTGCAGAGATGATCAGATATGTTGCACGCATATATGTATTTGTTTTCTGCCCTTGAATTCATGGCAAATCAGCTTTTTCAAGATAGATAGCTAGCGATGCTACAAACGCTAGCTAACTAACAGTATTTTGATTTGAATACACCAGCCTATTTTTTATTTATTTCTATAGTCTCCTGACCCAATGAGGAGGACTACAATGCACAACCTGGTCTCAGAGCATTTCGTATTATTCTGTACGTAAATACGAATACACTTAATTTAATATGATATGTTACGTTTGGTATGATATGTATTAATTTGTGAATGTCCATCACCCATTTCGTATGATATGTTATGAATTACAAATCGTATTATATGTTATGAATTTGCAAACGTACAATATGTTAGAAATTTGCAAAACATATGATATGTTACGAATTCTAGCAACGTGGCTAGGTGGCTAACGTTAGCTTGCTGGCAAATGTTAACTAGGGTTAGGGTTAAGGTTAGGAGTTAGGTTAAAGGGTTAAGGTTAGGGTTAGCTAACATGCTAAGTAGTTGAAAAGTAGCTCCATCTGTTGGAGACTGAAAACGTTAAACTCCAGCTGAAATCGTAGTGCAGACCTCTATCATAGATGGGTTTTTTATTGTTGTTTGTTTACCTTTTTCAAGCGCTTTGAGATTTATTCTGTAATGAAAAGTGCTATAGTGCTATAGGTTATTATTATTATAATTATAATTATTCAATGAGCAATTATCTGCCTGCTATGAAATCATTAGAGAGCACACAATGGCCAATTGTTTGAGGATTGTCATTTGATACATGTAGGCTAAACTCAAAATCAGTCATGTTAAAGTAAACCCAGAAATTGATAGGCTACAGTTGGAGCTGGGTCTCGTAACAACGCAGAAACTTTAGACTTGAGTAATATCTCTGGTGTGAGGTTCTATCGGCCTATCCCAAGTACGACCTGGGAGCGTGAGGAGCTCTCCATGATCCTGAAACCCGATTTCGGCGTACGGAGACCTCTCCTTGGTCCTGAACCAGCCACGCAGAAAAGTCGTGTTGTTTTTACGTTCTCATTCTTGACAATAACCTATACTTGTTTAGAGCAAACATTTCCACATTAACCACTGGCATGCAATGTTCCATGGTGAGTAGAAACAGCACACAAAACAATGGGAAGCAATGCTGCATCTCCATTTGTAGGCTATCAGAAGACTGCATGACAATGGAATACATTGTTTAAAGGGGAATTCTGCGGTTCAAACAAAGCGGTTACCCCACCACATTTTTTAGTAAACAGCTTAGGGTTGGGGTTGGAGAAACGTAACCACTCTCAAATTCATAGACATGGCTATGAATGCAAGGCTGACCATCCATGAGATAAAAAGGATAGTTTTAACGATGTTTTGAAGCTATACAGGGTGTGTTCGTAAATTCAATCTGGAGTGCTAGAGTGCGCTCCGAGTGCGCTCTGGGCGTTCGTAAATTCAGAGCGTTGTCAGATTGTCAGTTCGTAAATTCAGAGTGTTTCGCTCTTGGAGCGTTCAAAGCACACACTGGACGCTCTGGCCGAGGAGTAGGGTTGATCCGAGCATTCTGACCTCACAACCTCAGTCAAGCACCCAAGCTGACTGGCTAACATTGGCTAGCTTGCTTGCTACTTCTAGTCACAAATGAGAGAACACCTCACTCTGACCATTTTACTCGCCCTAGCCGAGCTGGTTAGGCTGTTTTCATGTTATCCAGAGCGTTGGTGACTGTGACTGTGCTGCTGGCAATAATTTAATTATGCTTTTTTGCAGACGTTTGCTGATAACGGACATATTCAACGGTTGTTGAGCGTTCGTAAATTCATCAGTTATTTTGCGCTCTGGCACACTCAGATGAAAGTGCTCTGAAATCGGAGTAGATAGCCAGAGAGAATTTACAAATGCACTCACAGTGTTTTTCTACAATTTAATTGTTTGCAAACAATGGAGTTAAACAAGCTTATAATTTGGGTTCTGATGGGGTTAGACAGTTGAACTAAGCTCATGAGGCATTTAAAAGTTTGATTCTTGAAGAATCAATGGTTATACTGTATATCATTAATTTAAATGTCCAAAAATAGATGCAGCAATCGCAGATTGCCTCTTTAAGAAGCAATCATACCAACACCCATTACTTCTGGGTCTGCTTCAAAGACCAAGTGCTTATTTAGTGGGGTGCCATGATCACAACAATGTAGATTGAAATGCATTTTATAAAGCTGGCATTTCCTTATTCTACCTACGAATTACCGTTCTGCCATACATAATTTCATGGCAAGGTTTTTTCAACGCCATAATTCAATTTAGCATAATCTAATGCTTGACTGTCAATAGTTCAGGGACAAGCCCTGATCCAAACCCAGATACATGGACTAAATAGCTAAAAACAAAAACATCAAATAAGCAATTAGCAAACTATGAATGTAAAACTTTTATTTTGATAAAGGCGCAAGGGAACAGAGCAGATGAGCAAGGTCTAACATTTCTAGAATCTTCAACCCCAAAATTTGAATTCACATTTCACATAGAATGCGCTTGGAAGCTCTAACACTGGCAATTTGACTGGTAAATTCATGGGTACACTCGCAATGGCTGCCTTGTGTTGTCAAAGATTTTTATACCTAACTCAAGATAGACCACAGCCTGCCGTTTCCAAATTAATCATAGTGGGCAGAACAAGCAAGGAGGTGGGCAGAGCCAAGCACAAGCTAGCAAGATCCTATTGGCGCGTTCTAGCATGTATTTGCATATTTCCGTTAGGGAACGGCTACTCTGAAGTGTGCGTGTGCAATAACTCAATTCACCCTTGCGCTCTTTCTAAACAACGTAATTTTTGAAAACTTTGTCAAAGGGTAAAGTCTACAAAACATAGTCCACTCTGTTTGTAACAGATTCTAATTTTGGGAACAGAAAACTGTATTGAGATTAAATGTTTAATTGATGAGAAAATTTGCAGAATGTCGGCCAAAATCCATCTTGCTCCATCTTTTCCTACTGCTGGCCACTGGGCTTCCTCTCATCACCATATTTGGTGGTGTGGAAATGCCAACCGGATGCTTCAGATTTATACATCCGGTGAAACATCTGGCTCATTGTTCTATCTGTGGTATTGTGATGCAATAATCTCCATGGTATTTTGAAATGTTCTATCAATTGATGCTGGATTGCCATGGTAATGTAGAATTTTAATTCAAATGATGCTAACTGATGTGGCACATGCAATGGAATGTATTTTTTGTAATGTCAGTTGAGTTGACTTAACAAATCACAGCACAGATTGAAGGGCACACTTCCTGCTTTTACTTCCTGGCATGGGTCTAGGTTGAAAATATACAGATTAAGACAACGTCGTCACAAATTTGGGACCAGCGTCGTTGCCAACTAGCATAGCTGGTTCCATTGTTGCAAAGATTTATGGGATATTAGGTGAAAAATCTGTCGATGTGCCCTTGAGCAAGGCACTTAACCCTAATTGCTCCTGTAAGTCGCTCTGGATAAGAGCGTCTGCTAAATGACTAAAAATGTAAAATGTAAAATATTATAATCACGTTGTCTTAACCTAGGCATGGGTACACTCAAAATGGCTGCCAGTCCACCCATTATGCCATCATTGACTTGAATGGATACTCCCTTTCTATTCATTCTATTTCTATGACATTTCATACTGTAGAGGAAATGTCATAGTTCCTGTGGAACTTGGTTAGTTGTTATAGAAATTGCCATCATAGCTTCAAGAACATTAAAGTTCCACAGTTGACTTGCTGCACAGCACCATTCAATCCAGTGAAATGCCATCTTGTGTGACTGGAAATACCTCAGTGGTGTTCACAGCAGTGCCTGTCTCAATCAGAAAATCTTGCATTTCCTGCTGTCATTTTTGCAAGTACCTCTGGTGTGCCCCTAGAGATGCCTACTGGTTCTGTTGGCAGGACAGTCATAGCCTCTGGCAGCTCCTTGGGATGGACTGCCTCTGAGGAGTCTACAGTCTCTACTAATATCGTTGTCAGCCGGAGTGTTGTTGTAGAGACCATTTCCAAGATGATAACTTCCTGAGTAGGGACAATGATCAGGGGCCCCAGGATTGTTGTCTTGCTCCATTCTGAAATAAATAGCATTTAATGATTGAGTTAAACCTTCACAACAGAGCAGAGGTATTTGAACATTTTCATTGGTTTTCACATTCAAACGGAGTTCTTCAAGAGGTGTGCAAAATTCATTCTGCTTCCATTCTAGCTTGAGCACATTGCTGGACAGTGGAAATATTTGAGGAAAACCCATACATGCAAAAACCACATTGGAGAAACACATTGGAGAAACACAAAAGCCAATAAATACTCAAGTACTGAGCAAGGCATCCAGGTTGCCTCTGATTGGCTTTGTGTTGTGTGTAACCCACCTTCCTTTGTGTCCGTTCCCCTTTTCCACATGCCAGAGTAAGGGTTTTTGGATCGGGAGCTGCTCCCTGCGCTGGCCCGGGCGGACGCGGAAGAAGCTGGCTGGATTCAGTTTCGGAGTAATAGGCCTCTTGGTGTTGATGGTTGTTGGGGTAGTCATAGGGGCCTCAGTAGGTTCTTCGAAGCGTTTGGAGACCTCACAGCTTCTATACGCCTGGTTGTTCCCATCTGGAAGGAGAATGCATGGTCAATTGGGAACCTGGGTTTAATTTGATTGCAGGTCAAAGTTCATCGTTTGCCCTCATATTTAGGCCATCCACAGTAAATACTTTTTTACGGTATCCATTTGGCAACGTATAACTTCCCAATTACATAGAATTATAAAAACTCCTACCTTTACAGTACAACACAATATTGTACAGATGTCAATGAAACCCTCTGGCGGCACTAATGAATAAACCCAATTAAATGTTCGCAGCCTACACAGTTTTAACAAGAGGCAGGATGCCCCATCTGTATCTCATACCTGTTCTCAATGAAGGAGCACGCTCTGTTCCTGGAGTTCACAGCAAACATGGCAGGGACAGCCTTCAGATGGCAGGTGATGAAGATCTGTGGAGATGGAATGGACATCAGAATGGTCAAAAGGTGCAGACCACAAGGAGAAGACTATTAAAACTTTGACATAACTACAAAGAAAACCCATAAGGAAAGGTGGGGTGGGCACTTGCCATATTGGCATCCACCTGGTAGAATCTAAGGGTGTCCAGCACAATGTGCAGCTTGTCATCCTGGACCCTGGGCATGTACCGGGAACTACAGCCTGTCAGCTGGGCATCAGTAAGGCATCTAATTGGGCAAGACGGGGATATGGGTGGTTAGGGAAAGGAATTTGTCTACTAGCTGGCTTACTACAGTTCATAACCCAACCACAGCTGTGATCCCGGGAGGACACAAATATGTTCCGGGTAGCCTCTGAGAATAACATTGATGTATACATGGACACGGTGACTGATTTCATCAGGAAGTGTATAGGGGATGTTGTTCCCACGGTATCTATTCAAACCTACCCAAACCAAAAACCGTGGATAGATGGCAGCATTCGCACAAAACTGAAAGTGCAAACCACCGCATTTAACCACGGCAAGGTGACTGGGAATTTGGTGTGTAGTTATTCCCTCTGTAATGCAATCAAACAGGCAAAACGTAGGTACAGAGACAAAGTGGAGTCATAATTACACGGCTCAGACACGAGACGTATGTGGCAGAGTCTACAGACAATCACGGATTACAAAGGGAAAACCAGCCACGTCACGGACACCAGCCACGTCACGCTCCAGGACAAGCTAAACTCCTTCTTCGCCCGCTTTGAGGATAACACAGTGCCACCGACGCGGCCTGCTTCTAAGGACTGTGGGCTCTCGTTCTCCATGGCCAACGTGAGTAAGACATTTAAGAGTGTTAACCCTCGCAAGGCTGCCGGCCCAGACGGCATCCCTAGCCGCGTCCTCAGAGCATGCGCAGACCAGCTGGCTGGAGTGTTTACGGACATATTCAATCTCTCCCTATCCCAGTCTGCTCTCTTGTTTCACGATGTCCACCATTGTTCCTGTACCCAAGAAAGCAAAGGTAACTGAACTAAATGACTATCGCCTTGTAGCACTCACTTCTGTCATCATGAAGTGCTTTGAGAGGCTAGTTAAGGATCATATCACCTCTACCTTATCTGACACCCTAGACACACTTAAATTTGCATACCGCCCCAATAGATCCACAGATGATGCAATCGCCATCTCACTGCACACTGCCCTATTCCATCTGGACAAGAGGAATATCTATGTAAGAATGCTGTTCATTGACTATAGCTCAGCCTTCAACACAATAGTACCCTCCAAGCTCATCATTAAGCTCGAGACCCTGGGTCTGAACCCCTGTTACGTGAATTATTTAACAAACTATTTCAGTGTCTCTGTGCGTCTCCCAAAAGGTTGTAAGTCTTTTGGGATTTAAGTAACGGACAGAGTCTCGATCTGCATAGTCAGAGATTCAGAGTCCATCTTTTATACTCATACAAAAAAAATCCCTCCCCTCTGTAGGCGGGCTGTAGTTTTCCACTCTAAAACTGCTCTCCTGACCATCAGTTCACACACACACACACATATATACACACATACATACACACACACACACACACACACACACACACACGCATACACACACTTTCTTATCATAGCCTACTCCCTGCATTACTCAGTTATTGCCGTTCTCACAATATTCTGCACCATGTTTTCATAACAGTTTCTCTACTCCCTAAATTCCTCAGTTATCAGTTGCCTTTGTTGTCTGGCCTAACTCTTACTCACATTGCTAAATAGTGGCTCAATGCCATAGACTTTACTGGTCCTACACTCACACATTTCTAACACATTACACACAGTTTCAGGGTGTAATAATTAGTCATTAATAATTAATCTATCAACCCCGCATTGTGCAACTGGGTCCTGGACTTCCTGACAGGCCACCCCCAGGTGGTGAAGGTAGGAAACAACACCTTCACTACGCTGACCTTCAACACAGGGGCCCCACAAGGGTGCGTGCTCAGCCCCCTCCTGTACTCGCTGTTCACCGATGACTGCGTGATCACTCAAGACTCCAACTCAATCATCAAGTTTGCAGATGACACAACAATAGTATGCCTGATTACCAACAATGACGAGATAGCCTACAGGGAGGAGGTGAGGGCCCTGGCAGAGTGGTGCCAGGAAAATAACCAATCCCTCAACGTCAATAAAACGAAGGAGCTGATCATGGACTTCAGGAGACAGCAGAGGGAGCACGCACCTATCCACATCGATGGGACCGCAATGGAGAAGGTGAAGAGCTTCAAGTTCCTCGGCGTACACATCACTGACAATCTGAAATGGTCCACCCACACAGACAGTCCAGCGCCTTCTTCAACCTCAGGAGGCTGAAGAAATTCTGCTTGGCCCCTAAAACCCTAACAAACATTTACAGATGCACACTTGAGAGCATCTTGTCGGGCTGTATCACCGCCGTTATGTTATTGCGGGTGTAGTGAAATGCTTGTGTTCCTAGCTCCAACAGTGCAGTAGTATATAACAATTCACAACAATACACACAAATCTAAAAGTAAAGTAATGGAATTAAGAAATATATAAATATTAGGACGAGTGGCATTGACCAAAATACAGTACAATACAGTATATACATATGAAATGAGTAAAACGCTATGTAAACATTATTAAAGGGACTAGTGTTCCATTATTAAAGTGACCAGTGATTCCATGTCTATGTACATAAGGCAGCAGCCTTTAAGGTGCAAGGTTGAGTAACCGGGTGGTAGCCGGCTAGTGATGGCTATTTAACAGTCTGATAGCCTTGAGATAGAATATGTTTTTCAGTCTCTCGGCCCCAGCTTTGATGCACCTGTACTGACCTCACCTTCTGGATGATAGCGGGGTGAACAGGCCGTGGCTCAGGTGGTTGATGTCTTTGATTATCTTTTTGGCCTTCCTGTGACGGCCTTCCTGAAAACTATTTCACTCATATTGTAATTAATCATAGGTCATATTTCATAGAAATATGGGAACACTGGGTAGTTACTTAAAAAGGGAAATTTCACAATTTTTCTACTTCATATTCATCATCTCCAGCACCACCCCAACATCAACGAATGTGAAAATGGCGGGTTTCTATGTTTTGTAGTAAAAAACGTTTTTCCAATGACATCATCAACCAATTAGTAGACAATTAGTAGGCAACTAGTAGGCAATACCTACTCATAATTGGTTAAAATCACATGATGCACACTGATGATGTCATTGGAAACACTTATCTTCCTCTATCTTTTTTACTACTAAACATAGAAACGCGCCATTTTCACATATGTTGATGTTGGAGTGGTGCTGGAGATGATGAATATGAAGTAGAAATGTTTAGAATGATTCATTATGGAAGTTTTGCTAATTGTTTTCCTAAATTTTTGGCTTGAGCATTGGGTGTGGTGTATATGCAGATATTAATAAACTTCTTAACTTCTGAACTACACAAAACTTAGGTGTTAGGCGAACAATAAATGTTCTCATGGCTGTGGGGAGGTTAGCCCAATATTAGACAGTCATTGTACCTGTCTGCTAGCAGCATGTGTCCCGCATCCTAAATTGCATCCATAATCAGTAGACGGTTCCGATTGGAGAATCGCATCGCAGAGTAGTGAACAAGAAACTATTAAATCCAGTTTTAAGATGCTACCCCTCCCCAAATCAAAACCAAACATGGATTCCATGTTGTGTTCTCATTTTGCGCGCACATCGGTCTGTGTTTCACACCTGTTTGTCTAGCTAATCAGCCTTGCAATATGGGCACAATGCTGGCCAAGACAGGAAGTAGAGGCAAGGTGTGCGCGCAAAGTCAAAACAAAACATAGGCATCCATATTAGATTTTGATTTGGGGAGGTAGGTAGCATCTAAAAACTGGATTTAAAAGTTTGTTCACTGCTTGTCGAGGCAAACGTTGATTCTCCAATTGGAACCGTCTGCGATTATGAATGTGGCTTCTCGGAACCATCTGCCGATTATGAATGTGGCTTCTGACGTGGGACAAATGCTGCTAGACCATGACTTATCTTGCACGCTGTTGCTATGGGATGCCCTTAGACCTCATCTCATTAATTAAATAATTAATCAGTTGTCTAATATTGGACTGTGGGGAGGTGTGCCAATTTCTGTCCATGTAGCCATGGACTCACAAAACTGTATTTGCCATTGTGGAGTCCATGGCTATTGTCCTGTCCATGGAGATGTTTTCTGGACAATATTTCTTAGGGGACCCCTTTTTGCTTAGCACCCCCTGCAAAAGTTCCATAGCCTTTGGTCTGAAGGTTAAATGCTTGAACCTAATTAGCTTATTTAGAGCTGCTTCACGATGAGATATTTAAACTGAAGTGCTTTTGAAAATGTATCGAAAAGCTTGCTGAGAGTTTGGTTCCAAATGCGGTCAAACGGGCGAAGATGGTGAGCTCTGCCTCTTCCAGTGTGTTTGAACCGCACCGCAAGAATCTTCATCGCCCTTGCTGCCTATTGAATTTGATCCCTGCCTTCCACAAGAATGCCCATGTCAAACATCTCAGCTTTCACCACGACTTTAAGCGAGTCTTCATGGCATTTTACGAGGACGGTTCTCGACCTAGAAGGCCTGGTCCGATTTCCCAAAAGCATCTTTAGGCTAAGTTCATCGTTAGAACCTTCGAGCATAGTTACATCTCCGAGCTATTTCCCAAAACCATCGTTACTAAAGTTTCACTTGAAAACACTCGTTATTTACCGACTACTGACCACTCGTAGAACAGTTAAGTGCGTCGTCAGATGGGTTTTCCCTACCGCGTCACTTTATACACTGAAGATCTCCGCTAAACATATAATCAAGATACACTACATGACCAAAAGTATGTGGACACCTGCTCATCGAACATCTCATTCCAAAATCATGGGCATTAATATGGAGTTGGTCCCCCCTTTGCTTCTATAACAGCCTCCACTCATCTGGGAAGGCTTTCCACTAGATGTTGGAACATTGCTGCGGGGACTTGCTTCCATTCAGCTACAAGAGCATTAGTGAGGTCAGGCACTGATGTTGGGCAATTAGGCCTGGCTTGCAGTCTGCGTTCCAATTCATCCCAAAGGTGTTCGATGGGGTTGAGGTCAGGGCTCTGTGAAGGCCAGTCAAGTTCTTCGACACCGATCTCGACAAACCATTTCTGTATGGACCTCGCTATGTGCACGGGGGCATTGTCAAGCTTAAACAGCGAAAAGCCTTCCCCAAACTGTTG